TAATATTCTATTATTATCTTTTTATCACCCATGTGGTTTCTTATGTGTGTTATTTGTGTCTTTCCCTCTTTTCTTTTTTGAGGTTTGCCAATGGTTTGTTGATTTTATTAATTCTTTCAAAGAACCAGCTTCTTGTCCTGTTGATTCTTTCTATAGTTACTCTGTTTTCTATCTCATTTATTTCTGCTCTAATCATTATTATTTCCTTTCTTCTGGTGATTGTAGGTTTACATTGCTGATCTGTTTCTAGTTGTTGGAGATGTTGTGTTAATGTGTTGATTTTGGTTCTTTCTTGTTTTTGGATGTGTGCATTTATTGCAATAAATTGTCCTCTCAGCACAGCTTTTGCCGTGTCCAAAGATTTTGGTATGCTGTGTTTTCATTTGTTTCTAGGAACTTTGTGAATTCACGTTTTATTTCTTCTACTACCCAGTCACTTTTCAGCAGGGTGTTTGTTATTCAGTTTCCATGCATTTGACTTTATTTCCTTGGTCTCCCTATTGTTGATTTCTAATTTTGATAGTGTTGTGGTCTGAGAAGATGTTTTGTAGTATTTTGATATTTTTAAATTTATGGAGGCTGATTTTGTGGCCTAACACATGGTGTATTCTAGAGAATATTCCATGTGCACTGGAAAAGAATGCATATTGTGCTGTTGTTGGGTTGAATGCTCTGTACACATCAATGAGGTCAAGTTGGCTGGTTGTGTTGTTTAGTTCTTCTGTCTCTTTGTTGAGTTTCTTTCTGTTGTTCTATCCTTTTTTGAAAGTGGTATATTAAAATCTACTTTTATTGCAGATTTGTCTATTTCTTTTTTCAAATCTATTAGTTTGCTTTATATATTTTGGAGCTCTTTCACTGGGAACATAAATATTTATAATGGTTATGTCATATTGGTCAGTTGACCCCTTTAATCATAAGACAGTGTCCATCTTTATCTACTATGCTGGTTTTTGCCTTAAAGTTTATTTTATCAGAGATTAGTATTGCCACTCATGCTCATTTTTCATTGCAATTAGGTTGATATATTTTTTTCTATCTTTTAACTTTTAGTCTGTTTTTGTCTTTGTGTGTAAAGTGTGTCTCTTGCAGATAGCATATTGAAGGATCTTGTTTTCTTAACCATTCTGCCACTCTCCTTCTCT